AAAAGTATTTAGCATTAATATGTGAACACCCGTTGTAAAATCCAAAAGTAAAAAGAAAAAGAAAAAGAAATAAAATCAATATTTGACGTTGTATAAGACTGTGAAAAAAGAAATATCAAACACTGTTCGAACATTTTTTGCGGATCTAATGAAAATATTTGACCTAAGAAAAAAGGGCCGAAAGATATCCAACAATATGAGTATACCTGGAGTCAAGTAAAATCTACAAACTCTTTCTTTCTTTCTTTCTTTCATTATAAATTTCTATATTTTGGTGTAATACAATAAACTAAAAAAAAATATATATATATACACATAAGGAAAGAAAGAAAGAAGAAAGAAAAGAAAAAAAATCTCAGTCAGTCTGTGTTAGGAAAGCTTGTCCCTTTTCGTAACGATCAGCCAAGGAGTACGTAAAGGGTGACAACTTCGATGTCCAGAAAAAAAAGCAAGAAAGGAAGGAAGGAAGGAAGAAAGAAAAAGAGGAAAAGACGACAACAAAAAAATAGAGAGAAAGAGAGAGAAAAGAGAATGAGAAAAAGAAAAGTAAAAAGTAAAAAAAAGAGAAAAAAAAGAAAAAAGAAAGAGATAGGGTTGGCTCGTCCAACCGGGCGGGAGCATTGCATCCAGAAAATAAAGGAAAGTAGGGCTGGTAATCCAGAGCGCAGGGCAGGGTCTTACCAAGGCTTCTACTGATGTTTATTGAGTCGGTACGCGCACGCGCAACATGCAGCACTATCATCTCATCTCATCCGGCTCGTCTCATCGCCCGTGTACTCTTCCTCATCCTCGTTTCATCTTTCTCTCTCTCTCTCTCTCTCACAACACACACATACACGTACACTCTTTCTTTTTCTTTCCATCTTTCGTTCTATCTTTCGTTCTTTTTCTTTTATTTTTCCTATCGTTTTTTTTTTTGTCTTCCTCTCCGTCTAACTCTTTTTCAGAATTTTTGTTCTTTTTCCCTCTCTCTCTCTCTCTCTCTCTATCTCTTTCTCTTTCTAACTCAGCACCTTATCCCATGCCTTCATGACGCCCATTCAATCCTATCTCATCTGCTCGAACCCCCGAACCTCCTCGTTTTCATTCCTTTTCCTACTTTTCCTTTCCCTTTTTTGAACGACACTTTTCTTTTACGTCTCCCTCTCCCTCTCTCTCTTCCTATTTTTTTTGTCTCCAAACGTCACACTCAAATAACGTTACTATCTTTATTTTCTTTTCGTTGTTGTGTTGTTGTTGTTGTTGTTGTTTTGATTTGATTGGATTGAATTTGATTTGACTCACAATTGGATTTGATTTGATTTGATTTGATTTGATTTAAATCAGATTCATTGCATTTTCGAAAAAAACATTTTACAATTAAGTCAATTAGTTGTTTTTCGCATCCACAAAATAAAACTATATATAGCAAAACTTTGTATCGTAGGAAATGTGAGAGTTGGAATATATATATTGTTTTGATCCTGTCGAACGTTCGTCCTTTTATTAGGACTTCTTTCAGCAACTATAAAATACAAAGATTACATAACCTTAAAAATACATAGTTCTCCGAAATGCTAAATGTGAAATAATATTTTGTTATTTACATGTCGATTATCAATGTTCGGAGTTTTCTATGTATTACTAAGGACATGCATTATATATCTTCTTCTTTTTTTTTTTTTTTTTTTAACACATCAATTAGACCTAGTACCAATAAATCATGGTTAAATAAAAAATTCGTTTGTGTATCGTCATCAAATTAAATTAAATTGTAGAATTAATTAGAATTCTATACATTTAATAGTTGTGACAAACAGGAAGAACAAATCTAATATAACATATATAGAAATAATTTGAAACTGTCGGTGTCGCTGTTTTGTCTCTTTGTAGATTAGATTTACAGGTCTAAGTAGATTTGTGGATTTAAGTTTCTTTGGACGAGTGGGATTATTGTCATAGTGAATATTTTGTGAAATATTTTTATCATATAATTTGGTGGTGGGCCCATTTAAATGAATCCAAATAAGTCATACAGATAAAATATATTATAAATATCATAAATATTAGTTTTTGTATATGTGATTAGAAAGTGTATAAAATCAAGGTTATCGGTAAATCTGGAGAAAAGAACATGGAAGGGATTCCGAGTGAACGAGTATATAAAATCGCTTTTACAGTTTGGAGATTAGTTACGGTAAGCATTTCGCTGTGATCATGGCGATTACGCGCCTTATAATATTTTACTACTCTCGGCGATTAAAGGCTCGTTTTCGTGGCTGCTTTCGAACGAGAAAGCACTTCCTACCTTAGTACCTTATTCCTATCTCTAAATAAAATATATCCGATTGTAATAATAAGACAATTTATTATACCAATTCCATCGAATTAATTATTAAAAGGAAAAAAAAAGATTTTAAATCTATTATTATTATATATTTAAAAATCGTTGTAAAAGAAATTCATTATAATTCAATATTTTATTAATGATTAAACATGTGTATTTAATTTGAAATGTTGCCGTTATCATGAATGTTCGTTCGCTTTTTTCAAATCAGCCCCCTTTTAAAGAAGTTTTCATTTGAAATATATAAATGTAAAAAGAAAATGAAGGAGGGGACACGAGGAGGAGGAGGAGGAGGAGGAGGGTGGGGGGTGGGGGAAATGTTTATAACGTTAGAAAGAAAACAATTTATCGACCAAGTGGAGTAACGATCAAGTATTAATTTTCGAGGGGGAAACTCGGCTCGAGTCGAGAGGTGCTTGAGGTTTGAACTTTAAGAAGAAAGAAAAGAGAAAAGGAGATCCACGATGATAAGTGGCGTCGGAAGCTACCAAGCAGGCAGGCAGGCAAGCAAGCAGGCAGGCAGGCAAGCAAGAAAGTAAAAAAAAAAAGAAACGAGAAAAAAAGAAAAAAAGAGAAAGAGAGAAGAATAGGTAGGCAAGAATGTGAAGTAGGGTGATTTCGCAGCGAGGCCTTTCTAAGCGGTTGGATTAAGTGCTACGTAAATTCTGCTCGGCTCGAGTTCTTCTTTCTCAAGCCAAGTAAAGAATCGCCATAGCTTTTGCTTTCTTTCTTACTTGTTTTCCGTTCTTAAAAACGCATGCTCGATCTAAAGAAAATCAAAATTACGTTACTTACTCTTGTCCGGGGTTTACCTTCGTTCATAGAGAACATGTGTAGTTCAAGACTAAGAAGATTATCTTATTTAACCATTCTTTATCGCCGATTAATTTATAACCATTGGGAATATTTGTTGACAATTTTTTTTTAATTTTAATTTTTACTTATCATTATTTTTATTTATTATTTCTTTCTATTATGACGGATTAATTATTATGAAATTTATTTATTTTTCTTTTATTTGTAAATTTTTGATTTGTCCTTTTTTTTATTTGTTACTTATCGTAAATAAAATAAAACATGTTTAAACATTTCTTTTTTATCGACGTACCAATCAACGCCATGTCTCAGTAAGTAACGTTTCGTTGGAAATTCTATTAAGTACCTTGTAATGATAAAACAGTAAGATCAAGGTTAATGTTGGTAACAGGAGAAAATATTACCTTAATAATTACTTAATATCGACTGAGGAATCATTTTGATTATATCCATCGGATAACGTTCCATCGAATGTCGATAAAGAAGTTCAACATTTAGGTATTACAAATGAATGGTTAAATATCTCGATCAAGTAACTTAATTAATAACAGGGAGAGAGAGAGAGAGAGAGAAGGAGAGGATTAAAGATATAATTGATTCATTACATTTTACTCAGGACTATAATTACTATCGTTTAAAAATTACATTTCATTTATTTCATTGAACGACGAGTAGGCAAATCGTTCAAATAATCGGAATAAACGAAGGAATAAAAAAGAAAGTATTATTAACGTTATTGTTTTTATTAATAGATCCTTGTTTTATTATTATTATTATTTTTTTTTTTTTTCAAACACTATCTTTATTTAAAAAACAAATCTATATAAATGCGAAATTTAAATGTGGAAAGTGTACCAGCACGGAAACAGTTCGTCGAATCGATGAGACCGGCCGATCGAAGTAACAAGTGCTTGCAATTTACATACACATATGCATTTATTATGCATACATATACATATATAAATATATATATATATAGATAATTTTTTTGTTAATATAATATTATAATAATAATAATATTTATATACTTATATGTGTATATATATGTAAAAATATGTTTCTTTCCTTAGGAACTGTGCATCACCTATGCGTCTCGCAATTTTTATGCACATCAAACGGTTGTTTATAAATAGAATGTCGGTGTAAAAGATCAAGGAAATTGTAAGTGCGTCGAGCACGTTGCGACGATCAACGAACTATGAAATAAATGATGTGACTCGTGTTAAATAACATCAAAGCTTTTTGTTTATAGACAAATGCGATGATCAGATTTTCGCGTGTTTATAAACGAATTCGAGATGTTCAAATTATTATCTCGTTTAAAAAAACAAAGCAAAAAAAAAAAAGAAAAAATAACACCTATAACAACGTAAAAAAAAAGTAACAAAAACGAACGAACACTAAACGAAAAACGAAATATTTTCTAATATCAATCTCTCGTCATTTTGTTCTTTCATTTACGAAATAGAAATAATTAAGAAACTAATTAAAAAGAATTACAACAATCTATAAATCATATATATTACTGGTAGTAGTACTCTATATTTCTAGGTTGCCATAAATGAATGTTTAATCGATGAAGTTACAATGAAATACCTTCTTTATCCGTTATGCGCAAGATTTTCTCTGCGCAAGCGTATTAAATACAAAACTGATTTATAAAATCAGATCTAAAACACATGATAGCAATTGACAACATTCAACGCAAATTTTGTCCACTTTCAATGAAAGAAAAAAAAGGAAAATTTAAAAAATTTAACTTAAATTCGTAAGAACATAATTAAATATTAAATAAATCGATCCTGTTAATACATTTTTAGCAGTATTTTGGCACGCGAATTGGCATCCCCACTTTTGTTCCTTTCATTGAAATAATAATCGCGCATTCGTATAAAAAATTCCAACCCAGTTCATCGATAAGCACAAATCGCAAACTTTGTCAGCCTTTTTTTCGTCTTTCAACAATATAGTACTGCTTACCGTCTATTATATTATATTTAGAGAATTATTTTTTTCCGACGTTCAGTCTCATACACGCTTTTTCCTCTTTCACCTACCTATTTATCTATCTATTTACTATCTCTTTGACTCACAAATTCGATATCCCTGCGAGTAGTCCTTCTTTCAAGGAAAAAAAAAAAAAAAAACCGATTTTTTCTCGTCGACCTTTCTTCTACCCTTTTATTTAATTCACTTTTACTTTATCTGTTCTTTTGTCTTTTTGTCTTTCTCATCTATTCTTTCATGTAAATCTTGAAAGGGTTCTCCAGGAAGCAGACACTCGCTATACCCTCAGCAAATTGGTATGGGGACAATTGCTTTTGCAAGCCAAGCCAAGCTAAGTTCATCTCCATTGCGCAAGCACACTCCATATTGAAGCGTGGTGCTAAAACGTGACCAAGACAAAATTGTCTTATATATAAATATACGTATACTTGTTATTTTTTGCATTTTATTAGTATTCTTCTATACCGCAATTGTATTTCTCAACAGTCATTTTATGCCAAATCGATTATTTATGAGACTTTTCTATTTTCTAACATATGTGTATGTATATTTTAAATACTGACCAGACTGATCGTCGTTATCCGTATGTCATAATCTCATATTAGCTGGACACCCGTGGTTCATCCTGTATTCGACATACAACATACCAGTATTGTGCCAATAGTAAAGTGCCAACACGACCAGCGCGTGCCACCATTGATGAGACGAACCAACGTAATCGACCCAACCTAAAATCATCCAAAAATACAATCAATTAACATTCTTCTTTTTCAAAAATATAATATAGGATGAATAAATTCGAAAATATCGATAAACGAGAAATATTGTTCATAAGTCTTTGAAGATTATTACCAGGAATTAAACGTTCGGGTATCTTTGTCAAATATATTACAAAAGCTAAACCACTAATGGCATACATCCCAAGGACCCTTGGTAGTAGCAGTCTAACGATCGGATTGTCCATACCACCCATTGCTATACTCCAATGCAGTGTTGGCAGAACTCCATAAACTGCCCAAGCTACGAATACGATCAACTTGACGTTTCCGTTTACATTCAACTTTGGTATCTGCAGTACCATAGCGAACAGAAATATCACTAGGACTGTCACCAAATAAAATTGTTGCAAATCCTACAAAAATAAAATTATCTTTATTTCATTATTATTATTATTAGCAACAAAAGGAGAATAGAAGAACTGAATAATTTGAATTTATTTCAATTGCAAATGTTGTATTGTATTGTATAAGTAGATTGAGGATAGAAGGAAATAAGAAAAAACATGTGAGATGATTGTCGTTGTACATACCTTGTGACACCAAAAGGCATAGTAAACACCAGACATGTAAATCGATAGGAGACTTAAAGCTATACCGAAAAGATCAAAAGATAAAAAACACCAATAATCTTGTTCACTTCGACAGGAGAACGTATGGTATACTGACGATAATATCATGCATACCTATATATACATGAAAACCAACATAAATTAATTGATTCTATAAACGTTATTATTAAATGAAATGAAATGAAATGAAATGGAATGATTAAAATTCACCTGGAAGCAGATTAATAGTAAAGCTACTATAATTTTGTCTCCGAAAGGTGCGTGAATATTTAACAAGCAAAGATCGTACAGGGTTAAACCGAAAAATAACATCCATCCAAAAATGTGACTCCATATGTTGATCGTCTCGTTCGTCCACCAAAATATACTACAAACAAAAATTAAACAAATTTATAAAAATAGTACATTTTATTTATCCTTTTTTTTTTGTTACAATTTTTTTGATCTGAATATCGATCTGAATATCGTCGATCAAAAAACTTTAATCTATAAAACACGTGTCAAGGTTACTCGTTCGGATAATTGACATGCTTACACGTGGCTTCAATTATGTATATGTGTTTTAGATATAATTACCTTTCCACGCATAATTTTGTAGTTAAATATCCTCGATAACCATTAAGTATATACGGATTGTGTCTAAGATATTCTGGTGCATCTTTGAATGATAGCAATCGTCTCAATTTGGTTTCATTATTGTTCATTAATACTTCTCTCTTGATCGATGAATCCGTCGGAACGTGATCGCACTGTAAAAAATATCTATTTAATATTTTATATTTATTTATATATAAAAGTGCGAGGGGATAGGTAATGTGAGGAAAATCTTTCAGAAAAAAAAAGCTAGATTGATTTGAAGGAAAGTAATAAATGCTAATTGTAAGATAATGACTGTAAATGTTTTGCAAATCTTATAAATAAAAACTTGTTTTCTTGGTCTTTATTTCTAAAGCCGATATATCAAAGATCCAAAAACTAATTAGAAACCATTATATACTAGTATATATATATATATATTTTTTTTTTATGAACCCACCAAAAAATTGTATTTCATATTTTGATTTATTTCAATGATTTTTTTATATTAAATAATTTCTTTTATATTGTCGTCCCTTCTTCTTTAATTCTTTCTAGTTAAGAATTCAGATTATTCCATCACGTAACACTCATATATATATATATATATATATATATATATATATGTTGTCTCTATATGTACATAGGTACTTGAGTATGTGTAAAATCATCGTTCGTTAGCCTTACTCGTTGTAACTGTTATGTAAGAAGTACTACTACAAAAGTAGAAACAAAAAATGAATTCTTAGAAAATATAATAACTTGTAAGTATTTTCATATGTAAATTAATGATATTTTTTTTATAATAATAAAATATATAATAAATTATATAATCTATATACACAGTTGGTGTAAAAAGTATTCGTACACATATGAATTTGAAATAAAATCTTGTCAAATTGTAGATCTAGATTTATAATGTAAAAATCGGCAGAAACATACGAGTTAGCTATACTTATTTGAACTATTTGCAAAAGAGTTTGTATTTAACCATAATAAGAAAGAAAAATGATTATTAATTGACATAATTATTGTACAAGTTTATTAGAAATATCGCCAAATAGAAAACAGATCTCGATCTACTATACAAAGTATCATGTATATGTATTTATAATTATGTATCAATGTTAACACGTTTACTTCCACGTGGTTCCCCCGTGATGACTGACGTTATTATAATATACTGTTTCATATCTAATCTTATATTAGAATAGTGGCATGTAAACGGTAAAACACGTGAAATTATATAAATATGATTATTTCGTTAGTGCTGAATTGACAAGTTTTCATCCTTATATCTAAATAATTGTATTTATCAACAAAATCACGAAACATTTATTATATTTTTATTATGTGAGTTTATACCTATATAGATAATTAAGCATTAAGCGATAAATCAACATAAATTTCAAAAGAACAATGGACTTTGTTCATTACGTTCGTTATCAATGAATATAATACATATGATTATTGTATTTATGATTTTATTGTAAAAGATAAAGAAAGGAAATGAAGACAAATTCCATTTACATAATTTTAATCAATCTCAGACGTCATAAGCATGACAACATAACGAATTTAATTAACGATTAATGAATAAAATTGTCAACAATCTCCAGATATATATATATATATAGTTTATTTAGTTGTAATTCTTTTCCATTCAATTTCAAAAGTTATGAGAGATAGGTATAATATGAGATGTAGAAAAATGGGCCGAAATGATTTGGAAATTAAATTTGAGAAGGAGGTTACCAATAAAGGTGAATACGATCGTGCCTATACGGATGTTTATATCGCAAGATAGAAAAGTATTGAAGTAGGACACAACGGGACCGGTCGGTCTATCATCAGAGTGTGTCAAGTTTATGCCAACGGGCTAATACACACATATGTATAGGTATATGTAAAATCTATCATAGGACATATGCCTTAAGCATAGTGTATATGCATACTTAATCTAAGTAGAAATAAATGTAGTGACCAAGCTAAAAGTTACGCGTGAAATTGATTTTTCGCTTTTCAACAAATTCTTTTATTTATCGTATAATAAACTTTTATCTAATTTAATTCACTATTTTCGTTAAAAAAAAAAAAAAAAAAAACCAATTAATTTTATTAGAAAATCCATTCCATTTTGCATTGAGTAATTAATATTATTCTTGCTGAATTGATTGAGAAATGTTTTATTGGTCAATTCAATGTTATGAATCAAAGTTGTTGTTTTCATTTGGTACTCTGGAAAAAAAAATAAAGATGCAATCATGAAACGTGGAAAATTAGAGGTCGGAAATATGACATTGAGAAACGGAGCGTATCGCGATCGTTATTTTAAGTCAGAAATAGAAGGACTATTGTGAAAGCTTAACGATTTCATAAAATATGTGAAAACATTGTCTTTACTTATTGACGAAATTATAAGATAACACTAATTTTCAATCTTTTTTTATTCCGTTTCTGCCTCCTCCTCCTCCCACCCACCGTTCACTATAATTCATAAAATTCACGTTGATTTAATTGTTAAATTGAACGATTCGAAATTGAAAGATAATTTCTATATCTAAGAACAAGGAAAAATGTGATATAATATATGAAAAAAGTAGGAAAAAAGCGTTTGATTGATTAATATTTATTAATTAAGCGAACTAACCTTCCTGACGAGAGCCTGAAGATGATCCTGTATCGTATCGATTTCATTATTATTATGTGGTTTTTCTTTAGATGACTCGTCCTCGATCGATTCGTTCACCTTCTCCACACCTGCCAGTAATTTCATCATAGGAATGGCCGATTTGTGTTTATTTCTCTCTATGATAGATATGATGAAAATGTTTCATTACAAAATAATAATATAATATCAAAATATAAACTACTTCATATTCCACAATTATTCTTTTAATATAATACGAAGAAAAATAATTTGAAAATATTATTTATTAAAACATGAAATGTGTTAAAAATTTCGCTATTAATTATCGATCACAATCGAATAGAAAAATATCACGTACAAAATTTCTACTCGTTAAATTCGAAAGATGAGATAGCAATAAAAAAAAAAAAAAAAATACTTAAAAAAAAAAAGAGGCCATTTCAGAATTCATATCCACAGTGACCTGGAATTTCTCGTTGTTCTCTTTTTATATTTTAATTATTATTATTATTTTTTTGTTGTTGTATTTTTTTCTCTCCTTCTTTCTTTCTTCCTTCTGATCGAAGCTTATCTTTTTCTTGTGTATATAAGTATGCGTTCGTAAAGATCTTTCATTGTTCTTTCACTCTCTCCTCGCAAGATCTCTCAACTTTAATTTACGAGAAAGTCGAAACAGAAAAAGAAATGGAGATAGACAGAGAGAGAGAGAAAGAGAGAGAGAGAGAGAGAGAGAGAGAGAGAAAGAGATAAGAATAAACTTACTCTCCTCTCTCGTATTTAAGTGGAAATGTTATGGCGTTTCGTTTTACATTCTTGTGAATAAACATCGAAAGCAATCGTTAAAAACTGAAACCATAACTTTCATTACTGTTCCTAGTACGAATACGCTCGTATAACTATCCAATCACATAAACATCATGTATATATATACTTCCGATCGATAAGTTAATGATAAGAAAAATCTGTTATCTGTTAAGACTATAATTAATATTTGGTGAATGAATTATATTAACGATCTATCCAAATTTTCATGTCAATTATTATATTTCATATGAATTATTATTATGAATAATTTGGAATCTGTAATAATTTGATCTGTAATGAAAGTTAACATATAAGTAGGAACTCCATTTAAATTGGAGATTTAATAAGTAATTGCGGAAATGTGTTTCCTTCCTTATTGATTCGAGAGATACGAATAAAATGTAAATGCTTATTGTTTCATTTGTTCTCGTTGTTTTGTCCTCGATGTTACAATTTCCATATGAAAGTATAATATCTATTGACACGTAATATCATTTCATAGAAGCCAAGGACTATAAATTGACTTACTACTTACGTTCGATCTACAACGTTGAATCGATGAATAATTCCTTTTTCTTCTTTTCTTCTTTTCTTCTTTTCTTGTTTTCTTGTTTTCTTTCGTTAGAATTGATTTGTATTTTTAATAGCAATAAATACAATAAAAATAAAAAAAATGTCTAACGAGAGAAAAGAAAACAAGAAAAAGGTAGAAAATATAAAATACTAAAATTGAAAACTCGTTTGACTTGTTTCAACTACAACTATGTTGTACTAGACATCCGTTTATCAGAGTTCAGATTCAAAGTTGTATGATCGTTTTGTTAGCTCTAATGATCTACATACTGAAGACTCAATAGATCCTTTTTTTCTTCAAACCATTCAAAAGAGTGACACGGTAACAACTATAATGACGGCAGTTAAATCAGACTGTCACGTGATTTATTGAAAAGGAACGTACCAAGAAGAACTCGTGTGCTCTTTCTAAAGGCAAACGAGATCAAATGAAAAATATTCAAAGATCATGGTAACAAATGTTTTAATCAAATAAAAACCAAAATTTAAAGACGAAAAACAATGTCGTTCAAAACAACAATTTTTTCCTTTCGAGAAAAAAAGAATATACATTTTTTTTAAATAAAATAATAAATAAATTGAACAAACGTACCTTGGTGTAGATAAAAAAAAAAATATAATTGTGCCTGTTAAAAAATTGCGGAAAGAAGAACTCGTATGATTGAAGACTCGTTCACAAATATAATAAATTAACACATTTTGTTCAATCTACTCTCTCTCTCTCTCCCTTTCTCTATCCCTCTCTCTCTCTCTCTCTCTCTCTCTCTCTCTCTCTCTCCCAGTTTCTATAGGAAGCCGCTTAAACACGCCTAAACGGTGTACCGATCGCGTCGTGCTCGGCACTGAGACTGAATCGACGCGAGAGAAAAGCGCGAAGCCTCGCACGATCATCGACCAATGGACGAACGAACCAAACGGAAGGGTGAACTCTTGCGAAGTTACTTTCGGAATCATATTCGACGAAACTATTTCATTTTTATATTATTTTTTCTTCTCTCTCTTTTTCTTTCTCCAATATAATAAGTAAGAAGAGAGTAAATATAATAACGTTTTTAATCAATTTTTTGTTTCTTACAAACGAGCCACTTTTGCATTCACGTGCATTAATTTTTAACAAAATTATTTCCATTTGTTTTGTCAAACAACAAAGTTTTTTTCTTTTTTTTCTTTTTAAATAGACTATTCTGATATTTTTTTGATTTATTATTCGTTAAAAAGATCTATTTTTGTTTTATATAATATATATATATAATTGCAATTTTAAACATGGCATGTAGAGATAATTGGACAAGTTTGTTCTTATTACTTATAATAATTGTGATATATTATAAATACATGGATTATTAAATACAAATTTAATCGATTATTTTGTTTGAAAAAGGAAAAAGAAAGAGACATGATTTTTATTACACTAAATGTAAGTAACCAACAAAATTCGTGAATTTTAAATCAATAAAGATAACCGATAAACAAATCTGTAAACGGAACGAATTTTCTTGGTTACCAGATAATTATATAAATATATATAATTATTATTACTATTATTATTATTATTAAATTGAAAATCGTACATGTCCCCCACTTTATTTCACACAAACACACTTTACATATATCTGTTTTAATATTTAAATCTTATTATTTAATTTCATATCATTCTCATCTAAATATTTTCAAAAGGAATCTCCTCATCTCATAAAAGAAATACGCGTTGTATGTTTTGCCTGTCTTATGCGTCCACTTTCACTATACTGCACCTCTCACATCCCAAGAATAAGAAAGAAACGGAGATAGAAGGAAGAAAACAAAGAAAGACAGAGAGAGAGAGAGAAAGAGAGAGAGAGAGAGAGAGAAATTTCGATCTTTCCAAGATCGTGAAAGCGGGCCGAGCACCGCGCACTGCTTTCGCATTGAATGATCCATAGATCCTACTTAAACGTAATATTTTATCTTAATTTTCTATAAACATTTGTCTATCATCATCATCATCATCATCATCATCATTATTATTATTATTATTATTATTATTATTATTATTATTATTAGTAATAGTAGTAGTAGTAGTAGTAGTAGTAGTAGTAGTAGTAGTAGTATCAGTATTATTAGTATTATTATTATTATTATAATTATTATTATAATTTTTTCTCATACCTTTCATTTTTACAAAAATTAATGAATGAATAAATTAATTACATAAATAAATTTGTCAGGTGAATTCACACAAGTTTTCAGAATCATATATATGTATGTATCATCATATGGACTTTATTTATATAAAGGGCTAATGCTAAAATGTACACAAGATAAGTTATTCAAAATGTTCGTCGTGTGTGATTTTGTTATTTTACTTATTTTTTTTTTTTTTTTATATTATTTTTCATTTCTGTTCTTTTATAACGTTTATTTTATTTTTCCTTTGTTGTTAATTTTTCATTACGACATCGATTATATTATTAATTTAATTACGCACGAATAGTTTCCTCTTTATTTATTTAGATTTCTTTTCGTTTCGTTTTTTTTCTTTTCTTCTCCTTTCTCTTGTTACCTGATAATAGACGCTTTACTTTGAACGATAACGATAAATTTTAATCGATCGATAGGATAAGCGAGGGGCTGGAGGGGCGGTTGGAACGGAAGGAAATTTTATTCAATATTTATCGAATTTATCTAACTCATTTTGTTTTCTTCTTCCTATGTTAATTTTTTTGTTCTTCCTTTAATTTGTTTACTCTTCGTCATTTTCATCATCGTCGTCATCGTCATCGACGTAGTCAAACTCATCATCATCATCATCATCATCATCATCGACATTATATTAATTCGCTCCTACTTGTAATGAAATTGTAGACAAAGTAGTGTCAATACATTTTCGTTAATAATTAACAAGAATAATCACATTCAAAAGAATCGATCAATCATGTTAGGTGTAGGGGAAGTAAGGTGGGAGGGATGGAGGTTGAGGTTTGCTCTTTTACACATTCGTGTTTTTATTTTGTTCATTTATCATATTCATATTTTCCCTCTTTTTTTTCCATTTCGATTATTTACCCAATTGACGATAAAAAACAATTCATTGGTTGCTTTCATTAATAATTTCTTAACGCACCTCGTGTGTATGTACGTGTGGTGTGGTGTRTGTGTGTGTGTATGTGTGCAAGAGAGAGAAAAAGTAAATGTAAAAAGGAACAGGCACATAAAGAGAGAAATTTGTTTAGTTTCTTATCTTTTTAAATATGTCATATAATCCTTTGACTTCCAAAATCCCCGTATCGTCGAAATCAGAAGGCGGAGTGAATGAGAAAAGAAGGGAGGCATAAAAGCTTATTTCGAAGCTGAAACGTTATATAACGTAGCTTTGAAAAAAATATTTTTTTTATATATATATATACAATATACTATTAATTAGTATTTATATATATATATATAAATGTATATGTATATATTTGTAATGAAAGTAGTGCTCTAGTATTGTGTGGTATCCTTCGTATTTAACGTATACTATACTTATGTAATTGGTTGTATGTACCTAGATTTACGTACTTGTATGTGTATGTGCGTGTATGTATTGTGTATGCATACTTATATGCATGTAAGTATTTTATGTATGTATTTATATACGTACTACCGCATCGCAATTAAAACGCATTTATATATGTAATCTCGCAATCTCTCAATTAATACAAATTAAGTTTCAAAATATTATTAATACACCGATCTCGAAATATCAACCACAATACTCTCATATATGAAAATTCTTATTCTCAACGACTTATTATGATTCTCGATCTATTCTTCGTATTAACAATAAGACGTGTCATTTTGTATTGTGAATGCAAACGAGACTGGAAGTATGAATTATAGCAAATATTGCCGCACAAAACAGGAAAAAAAACTCGCACGCAAAATTAATGTGTATAATTAATAATAATATAATAATTATAATAATAATAATAATAATTAATAATATTATAATAATATTATAATAATAATAATAATAATAATAATAATAATAATAATAATAATAATAATAATAATAATATATTAACATGAGTATAACGACGTTGCATATCAACGGCCGGCAAATTCATGATTTCGTAGGATATATAAATAATACTACGAACGAGAAAATTGAATTACCTAGAGGAAACCTTCATCCCTCATATTTTTTCTTTTAAATCTTTTCTTTACATATATGTGCTTCTTCATGGCAATTGCAGCATCTCTCTTTCCATCATATTTCATTTTCATTTTCATTTTCATTTCATTCATTTTATATTGTTTATCTTTTTATTGTTTGTTTATTGAAATATTAATATAATCTACTTTTCTTAAAGATAATAATTCATTAAAGAAACCTCAAACGGACAGAACTCGGACCGATTTTTTGTTTTCCTACTTATTGTTTATCAATGAACATCGATGACTACACAATTTCCTCCACATACTTGCATGTTTATCTCTATTTGCATTTATTTATTTAGTTTTCTTGTTTTCAAGCCAAATACAGCCCGATAAAATATGAATTTTGTATTAAAAATGACAGTAGTTTTAAGCACGTCATTGCCATTTTCGTTGATACCAAAAGTATAGGTTATTTATTACTAGATTACAAAGATTACAAATCGCATTTAACTGGATAGAAATAAAAAAAAAGAAATAAAATTTATTTTGATTTTATATCGTGTGCAAACAAATTACCATAATATAAATATTTGAAAATTGACAATTGACACAAACATGATATTAATAAATTATTTGTTTGCTTTGCAATATTTTCTTTAAAAAGATTTGAATACCTTGCGTGAGGAAACTATACGCACAATAACAGGAAACATAAGTTATGATAAAATTGTAAATTTGTAATTTGATAATAACGCGAAGTTACTTGTAGAATTTGTCAGACAAGGTAAGGAATATTAATAATTAAACAAAACGTATGGGTATAGTTTCATTAGTATTTATATATAGCCCAGTCTTACAAAAAAGTGACCGTATCATTCCAGGGGACGGGCAAACATTGCTCACTTGCATTTTGTTAAACTAACAATCGGTGTGCTGTCAGTTCGAAGGTTTGTTTGTTTGTTTGTTTGTATTTTTTTTTCATTTCCATTTTCACTGAGAAAGTAGGTATATAATATTACAGTTATCCATATAAGCACAATATAATTAAAAATTAAACTATTCAATTGAAATACAAATCCTACTTTCACTCTCCTATATTGTTATGTTTGTTTTGTTCTGTTTGTTTGTTTAGTTTTCTTTTTTTCCTGTTTATACCTTACTTCCATATGTTCTTTATTCCCGTTTTTTTTTTTTTTTGTAATTATTATTTATTTTATGAAAATCAAAGCGGACATGTGTGTTTGTTGGTAAATTTGTTTGTTTTATGTTTGTATGTAGGTATGCATGTATTTTTTTGTCATTTTTTTTTCCCTTTTTTTCATTTTTTTGTAATCTGAATTATGTATAATGTTGCGTGTTGCGTTTGTTATTAGTGTATGTTTATATGTGTGTATGTGTGTGTTTATGACCACCTTTAAAATTGCCTTGATTGCCATTGTGGCAACGTCTTAGTATTCGCGGGCCACCCAGTACGAGAAGGGAAACTCCACAGTTTGTCGACGCTTGCCTGAGAGAATTCTTCGGGCCTGAGTCGCGGCTTAAGTTTAAAAGTAGACGAGCCATAACTAATTTCAATCTGTGCTGATGCATAAGTGGCAATAGGCTGGGGTTGCTTGTTGGTGGCATTCGGGTGTTGAGGTCAAACGAGATTGGCGCATCACATGGCATACTTGCGCGTCCATTCGCGTGCCAATTCATTGTATTTCTCCCTGTCAGTTTTGTATATCCTTGCTATCTCTGGTACTAATGGATCGTCTGGATTTGGATCGCAGAGCAAAGAACATATTGAAAGTAAGACTGAAATCATTATCAAAGATTCAAACCTTCATTAATTTCCTGCACCTTAGTGAAATCCTTGTAAAGTAAACACATTTGGTTAAATACATTTAGACGATCCAGTTTAAACTTTTATACTTTAAGTTGACTATACAACAAAACTTATTTATTATCTGTTTCGTTATCTACTTCCTAGTTATTGAGATAAATGTTCATTATGTTAAAGTAGGTACCAGGTAAAGGTTAAGATAGGTTTTGTTTTTTTTTTACAGAAAAAAAGACAAATTTTGTAATAATACGTACCCTTCGATATAGTAAGTGCTGGTGACCACTGCGATCTTAATATATCCAAACAAATACTTCCATTACTGTTGATATTAGGATGATAGATTCTAGTCGTGAAAGCAACCTATAATAATCCATCCATTGAAATAATTACATTTAATGTTAATTTTAAATAACATTAAATAACAAACTTAACAACATGCTTCTTACGATGTGGTCTACGTACCTTAGGTGGTTTAAACGGGTAGTCTGTGGGAAAGTGAATTGTTAGGAAAAATACACCGCCTTGATACGGACTGTCAGGCTGAAAAATATTGTTGCAGTTCTTTTTTTATTATCATAGGACAAAAACTTTTGACATTTTTTCTTCATATTAATATTTATATAGAGTTGAAGAAAAATGAGTTTGCATTTTTTCTTTTTATATAATACAATAACAATATTTAATATAAATGGAAATAAAATCAACTTGGATAGAAAATAAAATATGCAACTTACTGGTCCCATAATCGTTGCTTGCCAGTGGAATACTAAAACAAGTGCATAGATTATATCAAGCAATGAACAAACACATATATATGTATCATTTCATAAAGGAAATTTTTAAGTATTTGTATAAACTCGATATCATAGAATGTAACAATTACAATGAGAATGTATCTAACCTAATAGTATTTTAGTGACATAAATGCAACTCATGATGATGACTCAACAACAGGAAAATAAAAAAACTTACAATCATCTCCAACAGGGCCTGCAGAACATTGAGCGGGTGGATCTCTTCCAAGGTCCTGAAGTTCCTAAAATTTGAACAAACAAAAAAAAAACAAAATCATATTTGTATTGGAAATCATCAAAAGTTACTTTATCAAGTTTTACTATAAAAAATATGAAAAAAAAAAAAAAAAATGTAAATCTAACGACACATTTCTTTTATGGTCAATAGAAGCTTATGATGGTGGTATGATATTTTATATAGAGCTATATCAAGATACTTTATTTTTAGAGTATACTTTTTCTTTTCTTCTACGTAATGTTAGACCTGCCATCTATTCCACATCACGTCATTATTTGTATCCCTTGCACTCTGACACATGTGTCAATGTCAGTTCACATCTAATATTTTATCTAATATTTTATCTAATATTTAAAATTCTTCATTATCTTACATAAGAAAAATCTCATACATAAACTGTTAATGTACCATAACCAACTAGATTATCATTAACCATTTGAGTCCCAAGCAACAAGCTCCCACTGTTTAGACTTCTCATCAAAAAGTGGAACGGTATTGAAATGCAATACAAAAACCATCCTGCACTTAGCATTTGTTAATACAATTTTTCTAAAAACTCCTGCGATTCAAATGGTTCAACTTCTATTAGCATGTATAAATTTAGTTAAGTATCAAAGTTAGTTTAACAACTATACGATGAAGGTTATATGAGTATCAATGACAATAAAAAGTACAAAGATCCAAGTAAAACATCAAGTCTCTTTGAGATGATTCTGTTCTTTGTTACCACAGTTATCAGAGACTTTGATATTGATTTTAATAGCAAGTTTTATTGTAAGAAAGTGGTGAATATAAAATTCTTAAACAAAAAGAAATGATTTGTTACAATAATTCATCATAAGACTTAGTGATTTGGTGGGGTGCAAAGGGAAACATTAGAGGTAAAAAAATTAAAGAAGGTTCAAGAACAAGATGTCCACAAAGGAAGTTACAATATTTTAGTAACGAATGTGACCATCTATTACTACGTATATGCACACACTATATACACACACACACACATATATATATATATATATATATATATATATATATATGTANCACACACACACATATATATATATATATATATATATATATATATATGTACGAGCACATATTATGTACATATACATGTGTAGATATATGTATGTGTAGATATATATATATATATAGAGAGAGAGAGAGAGAGAAAGAGAGATATATGGGAGTATATATAGATATACATATTCGTGTATGTATATATATAGATGCATGTAACAGAAGGTTTTACTTTACTTCCGGCAATTTCTAAGAAAGCTATAGAGAATTTTTCGAAATTCACTGTCACCTCCAGTCAAATAAGTAAGTCTCCACTGGCACAAAAAGTGGCACTGTGCCCGCGTGTCTGCGCGATTCATCGAGATGTAGGATAAAAGGAGTAAAGAATATTACTTGCGTTATGTACCGAGCGTAATAATATAACAAAAAAAAAAAAAGGCTTAAGATGCCTCGAGGATTTTCAATGCTCGAGCTCTCTCACATTGCTTCACTCCAAAATCGTTAAGGGCGTTCAACCGTATTCGACACACACCGCACAACGATGGATGATAAAAGGAAAACCGTTAATTCCTATCACTCTTTCGTTCACGTACCTTATTAATTCGTTTTAAAGCCATTTGATGAACTGTGTGTTGATATTAACTGGCCGAAAAACCAGAGAGAGAGAAGAACGATACCCGCTAGCCGAAGATCTTTGATTAGGGATTGCAAGATGGCTGCCTTCTAAACGTAGTCTTACTACGTTAATCAGTCAGAGCTTCGCGATCCTTTCCGTACGATAATTTCTCGGCCCGACACTTCTCCAAACTTCCTTCTGCTTACTGATTCCGGAATACCCAACGTCCGAATGAATTTACATAACGGTTATCTCGATCTACGTGAGATTTTGTGCATGGTCGTCGAGCGTTTAATTTTGAAATCGAGTCCGAAGCAGAACCACGGATTTCCTTTTATCGGCAACTAGTAGAATTTTTCGCGTTATACCAACATCCGCCGACAGATGGCATACGCAATACACCCAACGAATGTTCCTCCTCCTTCTCTTCCTCCATCACCCCATCCTCCTTCTTCATATTCATCGTCCTCGTTCGCCATTTTGTCCTCCTCCTCCTCCTCTTCCATCTCGTCAGGAAACTCCAACCGACCCTGACGCAAGCGCTTCTATACTCTTTTCTCTCTCTCTCTCTTTCCCTCTCTCTCTCTATTTCTTTCTCCCTCTCTTTTTGCTATGTATTTTTTTCTCTGTTTCTCATGCGACGACGACGACGACGACGACGACGACGACGTAGTACCGTTCCTCGTTGTCTCGATCCGCACCGACGGCATTCGTGCTTTCCCCAAAGCGTCATCGTCATTACCCTTTGAGTGTGAATCACGCATTAAGATCGATTCACACTCAGCGAGCAAGTAGTAACACACACCCAACTCCTTCAAATTTATATTACATATTCCTTATTCAGCGTTTTATTGAAATATACATCGTAACATCATTAATAAAATTCAAAGAGGGGGATAAAAAAAGAAGAATTAATAATGAAATGCATAATTTCCAGCTGTGTTCGCATCAATGTTCTTTGGAAACAAACTAACATTGACATTAATGGATTACAACAGGCGACATATTTCATCCGAATTTAATACACAAGGATATATATATATATATAAATTCATGTATTAATCGAAAGAGAGAAAAAAGGGCGCTTAGCAAAGATGGCGACTAAGTAGAAGAAGAAGAAGAAGAAGAAGAAGAAAACTGAGAAAAATAAAATGGAGAAAGTTACAACGAAAGTAAAATATTCTAATTGCCAATGTTGTAGAAATAATTTTGTTGCTCAATATAAGAAAAAACCGCGTGATCGTTGTAAAAGAAAAAGGCAAACATTGGTATTTAATGTTAACGCTGACGACGAGATATGGCACGAACCGTACATGCAACGTCTTCAAAAAGAATTCTCGGACGTGTCGATTTTGTGCGATTCAAAGATTGAGTTACCATGGAAAGACATTGCGTTACCGACTGTGGTAAGAAAAATTCGTACGGATGCCTCGGTCGATCATAGTAAAATTAAAGAACATGGCGAGGGAAAAACGGAAGTTGAATACGACGATGAAAGCAACGTTGTCTCAGAATCAGAGAAAAAGGAATCGACTGGCATTATGACGTTACCCTGGCACAATTTATTGATCACTAACGTGATATCACCTTCGAGAGACTATGATCCAACCAGTTATGATTCTCAAGTTAAAATACCATGGGAAGATCTTGCTTTGGATAAACCAGTTGATATCCGTGTGCCTTCACCAGACGAGGAAGATTCCTGTGAGCCCGACGACTTAGAGATACCCTGGCAAGATATTCTCATACCTCAGAATATCATAATTAAGTCACAAACAAAAATAGGAAATTCTTCCTTTGTTAGAAAGAAAAATAAGTAGCCCACTCGTTTCTAAAGAAGATTTCTTTTGTATTTTACCTTTGAAATTTTCATAATTATCTTATATAAATCATCTGTTATATTCTACGTAATAGAGTTTCAAGAAATATTGAAATATCAATAAACAAAATTGTTAACATATATATATATATATATATATATATATTATAAATTAGTCTTTTTATTATATAGAATTTGAAGGAAAAAAGATAGAAAAATGATAGAAAAAAGGTTTGAAAAATCTGAAATATGGCGCCAGATTGTCGACGTATCGACAAGTCGATTTATAGTTTCGATTACCGGCGCACAGTGGCGTTGCTGTAACAGCGTATCAGCGACGGTGCGTCACAATAGTCACGATTAGAGGCAGTAGTTTGGCAGTCACCAGTGGAAGCGCGCGGTGGTTCTTGTAATACGCGACTCTCCTTGGTTAATTCAGGAGTGGAAAAATGGCGTAGTTAAGGTACAAAGTTAATGCCGCGATCGTATCTCGATTGTTTAATTGATCTTGATTTGAAATAATTGTAGACGTTGTGCGGTCACTCATTAGTATCGATATTCGATCAATTATAATAAATAACAAAAGTCTTCAAATATAAATTGAAATCTTAAATTCGAAGTAGTGTGCGGATGTAAACGCTGAGAGTGGAATTGTGCATTGTGCTTTGGTGACTCCCCGATCGTGCATCAAATAAAAACGAGTTTATTTCCGACAACGCTTGAGCCAACAAATCGTTAATATTTTGTGATCATTTTGAAACATCAAAACCATCGAGGATACACTTACGTCAGTATGGAGAGAAGGACATTTTCATCGAAGAAAAGAGGATTATCGAGCTCGTGACAGCTTGACGAGCTGCTGCTGCTGCTGCTGCTGTTGCTGCTGTCTGCGAGCTGATTCGCGACCATTTGAAGATGGCGCCAGTATCGTTTTGACACTTGCCCAAGATCTGTCAGCTGGATTTTTAGAAAAGAAAAAGAACAGAAGAACAAACTATTTAACACCATACAAGTCGTTATACAATCAAGTTGGAGTCCTTTTATTATGAGCAGAGAATTTTACGTTCCTTGTACACCATACGCTTATCAGGTAAGACTTAAACTTTCATAGGTCTTATCGAAAATTTCGTTTAAGTTAGTCGTAACACCCTCTTTATGACCATCGCTTTTTATTTTATTTTATTTTTTATTTATTCACTTAATCTTATGTCAGATAAATATTTTCTTCTTTTAACTGATTTAAAAAAAAAAAAGAAAAAAAAACACTAATGTAGAAATGAAATATACATATTTACTGATATCTTTTATTTTCTAATAGTCAGTCCTAGGTCGATAATACTATTTTTTTTAGATTTTATATATATCTTTAAAATTATCTTCAAGATAAAGACGAGTATCGTTAGCTGTGTATATTTGGTTGGCATATCAAGAATGATTTTTGAGCAATATTAATTCGACGAGTTACAGAGAGACAGATGCTAGTTGATAGAGACGATAGACGATAGACGATAGACGATAGACGATAGACGGACTAACAGAGACAGACAAACCACTTCTTGAGGGGTGGTTAGAACCCACATACACATGTACACATATAATCACACATATATTCACATTTTTAATCATCGTTATGAAATGAGAATAAAAGTAGTACCGAGTGAAGTAATGCAATAATTTATTTTCATCATTATCGATTTTATGAAAATATTGATTATAATGATTGAGTTAAACAAAAAACGAAACACGTTAGTTGTTAGTTTCATCAAAAAGGTTGAAACATCATTTCGGTCCATTTTCTCTCTCTCTCTCTCTCTCTCTCTCTCTCTCTCTCTCATTGTCAATGAAAATTTTGGAAATTTGTGGATGAGATGAACTTAGAAGATGAGTTAATAGAAAATAGTAAAAAGGACGAAGAGAAAGAAAAACTAAGGGAAGATAATGACAGAAAAATAAAGGAAAAAGAAAATGTTTCCCCTATCGATAACGTTCTTTCTGATCATTTTTCTCGCAACGAGGACGCGTCACGATCCGTGACGAGTATTATTAGCGAGAAGGTGAGCTTTTTTTTATCTTTTTCTTTTTCCTTATCTCTCTCTCTCTTTTTCTGTTTCTGTTTGTCTGTCTGTCTGTAGCTATTTTTTATTGTCCCCCTTTGAAATTCGTGGAAAACTAATCGCGGTGTATTTTTGTTGGAGACCTTCACGCTTTCTTAGCTTCTTTTTAGATGTAAACTTTCGTAAAACATTCGTTCGTTCTTTTTATAGCTTGCAATTAAGGGTATTTATTAATGATAGAGTAAAAATACAATATCAACAAATTGCTTGATAACTAGACTAGACGGAATTTGATTTATTTTTATTGAAGTATACATCAATAAAAAACAGTTTGATTAGAGTGAATAACAAAATAGGATAAAATATTTCTTTTTCAAATAAATTTCTTTGATATATAATTTTCATTTGGTTTTCAAGTACACGTCGATAAAGAAGGAATCCTTATAATCGATAGTATCGAATTTTTCTTTCATATTATCTATAATAATAATCTTTTCTCTCTTGTAATCTTTCGAAATGACCATTGTAAAATGGAGAAAAACAATATAATAAATAGATCAGATCAAAGTATCAAAGTATCAGCGAACGTTTCAAGAGTTTATTGAGATCGATCAATTCGAGACAACATAGGGTAAACAATTCTGATACAAGAATAAGAAGAATAAGAAGAAGAAGAAGACTTTTTCGAGAAGAAAATTCATCAAGGAATATCGAAAAACTCGATGGAACTTCCTCAAATTGTAAAACGAAGGAAGAAGTTTCGAACGGTAATTTTCAACTACATATCACCATACATATGTAACACACAATACATAAACGTGATCACCTGCACGCTCACACATGCCCAGACATAAATGCAGTAGTTGCACGCGATCCTTTTCATTTTGCTTTTATTTTTTATTTTTTGCTCTGTTCGTCGTCGTCGTCGTCGTCGTCGTCGTCGTCGTCGTCTTCGTCGTTGTCGTTGTCGTCGTCAGCTTCGTGTTTTTCGGATGTGTTATGAAACGAAATATTACGTGTACGAAAACTTCATTACAACTATATAGGTTGTGTAATTCACCTGATCGAAGGAAGAGAAGGAGGAGGTGATGGTGGAGGTGATGGTGGATCTGGAGCACAGCAGGTGCATTTTCAAAGTATATTACATGTTTTGATAGTCGACTCATCGAATAAATCGAATACATAACAACAAAATTATGAAAATGCTGACTATGCATCTATTTATATGTTTGTATATATCTTAAAGCCAATTTGATATTAGCTAATCATATTTTGTTAACATATTGAACATATATATATATTTGCATACTTATGTATGTTATTCATATTTCGTAGCAAAAAAATATTTGTCTTTTATTAGCAACTATTCTTGAGATATCGTACAATCGTTTGAAATGAAATTATTTTGTATTGTTCGTGTATGAGACATCGGCGATAATATATATATATATATAAAAATAAACACTGACACACATATACACATACATTTTGTAATCATTTAATTAAAAATGGTCAAAAACATTCATAAGTTTGATTTACTTCGTAAATGTTCGCGTTAGTGGCAACGACTTCGTTCGAAGATAATGAAAGAAGAAGTGAAACTACCATCGATCTTTCAACGTCTTCTATGTTAACCGCAAACAATAGTAATGATGATGATGAAGAAGAAAAAGAACAACAACAACAACAACAACAAGAACAAGAACAACAGCAGCAGCAACCACAACCTGATGAGGAACCTTCAATGTTTCCAACTGAAAGGATCATATCTTTGGAGAATGCAATTGTTGTACCGAATGGTAGTAGACGTAATCGAAACGCAAGAAGACGACAACTTACGAGAATGGTATCAAATTCGACAAACACTGTAGAAATCACACAGGAAGTGAATTTGGAGAGCTTCTTTGGAAGTGATGCTATTGTTGCTGAAAATCTGATTGAATATGGTGCAGCATTGCATTCCATACAATTCGGGTATATTTCATTTATTATTTTATTTGTTTTAACCATAAGTTAGTTTTCTACGAATTTCTTTTAAATAATCTTTCTTATTTTATTTCTAAGAGTTAGAAAGAGTTATAAATATAGATTTATCTTTTACGATAATTACCGAAAGATTATTTGAAATTGTATAGAAAATTGTTGATGATATTTATTTACAACAAATGAAAAGATAAATTTCATAAATGTCGTAATATCCTTTTTATAGAATGCAAAGAATTCCCGAACCAATAAATATAGTGCCTGGTTTGTTTATTACTCAAGAGGATCAACCTTATCAAAGTGAGATTTCTTTCGATGATTATACAAACGAGAACAGTATTAATGAATCCAATATGGTGAATGGGTAAGCCGATGAACTTTGAAAATAGATAACCAACAAAATTCACAATATTTCGATGTCTCGATTATTCGGTCTGGTATTGCATTCGATATTAAAATCGATACCGAATGTCAACATTGCCTTCTATTGCAGTATAAACGAAATTTTTTTTAAGAAAGACTACTTACTATATAAAATATAGAGAAAAAGAGATAGATAGATAGATAGATAGATGGATGGATGGATGGAATAAATGATGGCAGAAGTTGTGCAGTGCGGTACTGCGGCTGGTTAAGTTTGTTCGCGTGTTAACCGCGGTCTACAAAATCCCTAACGGTATCACTCTGTTAGGTTTACCAAACGCTGACGACATTTTCTTTTTATTCAATCATATTTTTTACATATTTTTTAAATTATTCAATTAATTCGATATTGTTCAAAATAGTCTAATTAAAATGGTCTTTTAATAAAAACCAATGAGAGAAGTAGTATAGTAGTTTTTTAATAAAGTTGTGATAGGATTTGTTTGTCAAGGTGTATATAACATTTTCACGATTTCCAAGGAACAATTTCGAAGGACAATTCGTTCAAATCGACTTTCATATTTTATTAGAAATCTTGCCAACTCTTACGCACAGAAAGCAGACTTTGATCTGACGAAAGTTTTTTCTTTTACCTATTGCTTGTCCTATAATATTCGACGTTCGTTAGTTTACTTTGTATTAGAATAAAGTGTTACACTATTAGAACCCATTAGTTTAGTTTCTTTCCGACTATGGATATATCAAATAAGAGAGAGAGAGAGAGAGAGAGAGAGAGAAAGATCGAGTAGAAAAATAATTTGCTGATAAGTTGTCGGTTACATCCAGATGTTCGTTTCAATCGTCACAAATATACGACAAATGCGTGAGTTTATGTGTAAATATGCGTRTATGTGTATGTGTATAAGAGAGACTTTCACGAGCATACATCCTGCTCACTGGATCGTAAGTACGTAGATCCTATTTGATTACAACTCGTGCTGCTATATCGAGTCGTGGTTACGTCTCTGATCGTGACTCATTCGGCTTTGTACATTTACATTTATATATGTGTATGTAAAGTTTTGCACGTGTGTTTTTATGTTTGGAGTGTATGTATTTCTATGCTAGTCTCTCTCTCTCTCTCTCTCGTATTGTACATATATTTATGTTACCTTATAGGATATGTGTAGTCTCTCGTTCGAGAAAGTACCACCGGGAAGGTCATCGCAAATTGAAGCATTAAATTTAACAGGCTAAAGTATATAAGTAAATCGTTCAATACACCACAGACATTTTCTTCCCTATTTCCTATATATTTTACATTTGATAGGATTTCTTGACTATTTTTTTTTATTGACATCAAACTCATTTATTATTTGTTTTTAAATTATAGGTAGTAGTTAATCACTCCAAGTTGGGGTGTGGTTCGATATTGACAAATAATATAAAACATATTTTTGATTTTGTGTCATTAGTTAAACGAATTAATCTAGTAATTTTGTCCAAATTATAATTCTTATAATATTAACTTTAAATGTGTAATGTATTATTCAATTTCATTATATTTACTGTGTTACACATTAATCTAAAAAGAAAAGAAAACAAGTCAACACAAATGGGGTTAATATATTCTTAACGTATTATCGAAAAATACTATTTCTATGAATTGTATGGTATACAATAATAATAA